CAGTGAATCATTATAAAAATTAATAACTTTCATAAGTTCTTAACAATTATGCCAAACTTCATAATGCCTTGACAACATTAGAAGAATATCATGGAAGTGACTCTAGTATAACTTTATCATACAACTAAGTAATTAACAGATAAAATTCAAGAGGCTAATAATACATGCTACAAGATGATTTCATTTGTTAAATAAATTTTTTGTTTATTTTTATATGTAATCCCACTGTGATTCTCCAATAATTATACCTTTCTGGAGAATAATAGAAAGAAATTAAGGTAGAAAACATATTTACAAAAATGCATTCCACGCTCAATTTTAAAACTGAGAGCAGATCCTGCTAACAAATTCTCACTTTGGTGAAGCGTCAGATTTTTATTGATAATTAATTGATATACAGAATTGTATTTATTTATGGGACACCATGAATGTATTAATACATATATACATTGTATATTGTTCAAATCAGGATAACATATTTTTTTCTCCTCAAACACTTACCATTTATTTACCTGTGGTGAAAACATTAAAAAATCTTTTATTTTAGCTTTTAGAAATTTATTCTACATTTTTGCTATGCCTACTCTAGTATACAATAGCATACCAGAACTTATATTTCTTATTTAACTGTAACTTTGTACCAGTTGGCCAAACTTTCCCCATTTCTCCATTCCTGTAACTTCCCCAGACCTTGTTAAGCAACATTCTAAACTCCACTTCTATGAGATCAACATTTTTTAATTAATATATGAGTGAGATCATGCAGTATTTTTTCTGTGACTGGCTTATTTCACTTAACCTATTATCTTCCAGTTCTAGCCCTATTGTGGCAAATAAGAGATTACATTATTTTTATGACTGATTACTATTCTATTGTGTATGTCTTCCACCTTCTTTTTATTCATTCTTCCATTAATGGGCACTTAATTTGATTCCATGTCTTTGGTACTGTAAATAGTGCTTTAATGAGCATGGGAGCACAGTTGTCTTGTAATATATTTATTTCATTTCCTTTGAATATATACCAGCTAGGGGGATCCCTAGATCATATAACAGGTTAATTTTTTTTAATGTTTTGAGGAAACTCCACACTGTTTTCCTTATGGATATGCCCATGAACTATGTGAAAATGTTCCCAGTTCTCCACATCTTCACCAGGACCTATTATCTTTTGCCATTTTGATAATAGACATTCTTACTTAAATGAATGGGTATCTCACTTGACTTGAACTATCTCTATAATGAAAATTATATAATTTTTATTTTATTTCAATAAAAATTAGAGAAGACATACAATGGAAAGACATCCTATGTTCATGAATTGGAAGAATCAATGTTTTTAAAATGTACATACTATTTTAAGCAATCTAGAGGTTCTTTGGAACTCTTTATCAAAATGTCAATGAAATTCTTCACAAAACTAGATAAATGATCCTAAAATGCATATGGAACCCCAACAATTCTAAATAGACAAAGCAATGTTGATAAAAATGACAAATTGTAGACATCACAAACTTTAAAATACAATACCTTAGTAATTCAAAATAGCATGATTTGGACATAAAATAGATACATAAACCAATGGTTCAAAATTAAGAAACTAAAAATAAACCCATACACCCACAGCCATCTGGTCTTTGACAAAGGTGTTCAAAACACATTGGCAATAGGACAGTCTCTTCAATTAATGATGGTGTGAAGACTGTATATCCCTTTTCCAAAGAATAAAACTAGATACTGTCTTTCATCATTATGTAAGTAAAAATTGGTTAAAGCATTAAAAGCAGGACATAAATCTAAGAAGGTAAATGGGGAAGAAAAATGGGAAATTCTTCAGGACATTGAAATGAACAGAAATATTTTGAAAAAGATCTCCAAAGTATAAGAAAAAAAGCAAAAGTACACTGATGAACCTAGTCTAATTCCAATTTAAGACTGGGAGCCATCACATCACAAAGTCATGAGAAGTTAATTTCTGTTTTACTATAAATTACTAAGATTTCTAAATTTGTTTGGAATTCTTGCCCATGCTTTAAACTCACTCATGCCTGGATTCCCTGACCAGATAACAACTCTCTCTGAAACCTCACCGGTGCCCCATAAATTCTGATGTTGGCATCTGAAAATACTTCCTACCTTAAAATATTATGCCATTTAGATCACTAATCTACTATCGGCCTTTGTATTATGCTTGTCAAAATCCTGTTAGCTTTAAGTTATCAAGACAACCCCCTTTTGCAACTTTTTGTGCTTTAAAAACTTTTCCTGGAGGGCTGCGGGGCTGTTCTCTGACTGGGTTTTAGGAGAGACAGTCGCTGGCCAGCTTTTGTGTACACAATACAGGGTTGCTGTTAGTTAATTTAAAACTGAGTTGGTGGTCTTTTCTTGCATTGTGGTTCAACATAGACAATGGGATCAGAGCTAACTGAAAGTCTTTTGCAATTATTCACACAATTATTAGAGTGAACATGAAGCAAGCCAGAGAGTAATGTATATGTTCCTCTTAGTCTTGTTGGAGAGCTTTTTACTTAGGGTGTCAGCAAAAACTTCAGTAGAAGGTCATTATCATTGGTAGTTTCCTGTTTTCTGTAAATGTCAGGTTTGCAGAAAAAAGCAAACAACACCAAAAAAAAAAAAAAAAAAAAAAAACCTGTAAATGTCTCTGTCTAGTCAAAAAAATGATACAACAAAAAACACTTGTCATGTAAATCTTCAAGCCCCTCCTCCCACTGATATAAAGTTCAAGGAATTTCTAGATTCATTGTCCAGAGAATGTTTGAGGCCATAGTTGCCCTCTGGACCCTTCAGTCAAAAACGTCCTTCCTGAAAGTTCCTCAGATGTCCAGACTTTCCTGTCCTGTCAAACAGACAATTTCTGGAATAGGATAAATTATTTATAAACTATAATCTGACAAGTCATGAAAAGATAATTTCTGTTTTACTATAAATTACTGTGATTTCTCAATTTGTTTGGAATACTTGCCCCTGCTCTGAACTCACCCATGCCTAGTATCCCTGACCAAATAACAGCCCTTTCTAAAACCTTAGTTGTGCCTCATAAATCCTTGGTCCCCCTTATCAGATAACAACCTACCTTGAAATATCATGCCATGTAGATAATTAGCCTACTGTATCCTTTGTATTATGCTTGTCAAAATTCTGTTATCTGGAAGTTCTCAAGACACCCACTTTTGCAACTTTTTTTTGCTATAAAACTGTGTTCCTGGAAAGCTGGGGTACTTATCTCTAGCCTCAGATTTCTAGGAAGATAGTCACTGGCCAGCCTTTGTGTACACAAATACAAGATTTTTAATTTGATTTAAAATTGGAGTCAATGATTTTTTTGTGTGTGTGGGGAACAACACTCAGGCCTTTTTATATTTTATTTTGAGATGGGGTCTGGCTAAGGTGCTTTGGGCCTTGCTAAATTGCTGAGACTGGCTTTGAACTTGTGATCTCCCTGCCTCATCCTCTAGAACTTCTGGGATTACAGATATGCAGGTATAGGCATGTGGAGCATAGTGGCACACACTTGTAATTCCAGTGGCTATGGAGGGTGAGGTCAGAGAATSACAAGTTCAAAGCCAGCCTCAGCAATTTAGCAAGGAACTGTTTCAAATAAAAATAATAACAATAACAAAAAAGGGCTAATGATGTGGCTCAGTGATTAAATGCTCCCCCCAAAAGTATATTGAATCTCATTCTGGAGACCCGTTTGTATCTTTCCATTTCTGATTTTGAAAAGGCATTCAGTAGAATTGTCCATTTTGATGTCTTTCCTTCCATACAATATCTCAGCATCAATCTTACTTACCTTTATTTATCAGTCTCCTTCACAGAGCTATATCTTCTTTCCTACAAGCTATTTTTCACTATACAATTCCAGTATAGACAGGCCCTTCTGCTTGGAATGCTCTTTTCCTCTTGGAGGAGGCATGAAGGAGTGCTGCAGAGSGTGTCAAATATGACAATGTAGGATATAACCAAGAGAAAGAAGCTGACCAGGGACGGAAGCGAAAATGTCTAATTCTGCAGCTTTTTAAATGCCTGGGCTTATCCATCTCCTCTTCTGAGTTCACTATACTTAACACAGGTAACTTTGTTAGGTCATCATCCACAGGGTAGGACCAGAAATATATTATTAACAGTTTATCTTTTGCTTAGAAAACAGTGTGGTACATAGTAAATATTTAAAAGCAAAATGTTTCAAAATTGAATTGAATTTTTTTAAAAAGTCATGTTTTTGGTAGAATATGAAAGGGTAAAGAGACATCATTTTAAATTTTAATTGATTGGATATTCTTAGAGAACTATTTGTGAAGTCAAGCAAACTTTTGATTTTTTTTCCCTTAAGGCCTCTCTAAATTACTGAATCTTGCTTTGAACTTCCAATTTGCCTCCTTAGACTCCTGAGCCACAGGGATTACAGGTGTGTGCCCCAACAATGAGCAAACGTTTGAAGTATTAATTTCTAAATAAGCTCATATGTTTTATAAGAATGGATAGTTATTGTAACCAGAGAATAAAAAAAAAAATTCATTAATTTCAATCCCGAACTTTACCAAATAACCTCCACAAAGTTAACATAKAGTGATAAAAAACTTTCTAAACATTGCACAAGTTAAAAAAAACATGATTTAAAAAAAAATAGATTCCCAAAACTGTCTTCTGTGTTATATTAAAAGTGTGCTAGTTTCACATATTAATACACTGAAATATCATACAATTTTAACATGGAGACATTATGTTTATATATTGCAAACATTTTCARACAAGCAGGTACATGAAAAATATATTCATATCTAGGCATTATGTCTGTATTATGAACATTACCAAAATTTAAATCTTAAAGAAAAATATCTTAAAAATTCCAGTAATTTGGAGAGAATAATATTGATAATATTTTACATTTTCATTTTAATTAATTGAACAAGTATGCAATAATGAAAACTTAAAAATAGCAGAAGAAATACATAAAAATTAGAGATCACAAGCAATATTTACCTGTCCAGACAGAAAACACTATTCTGACTGCACAGTCTCTTAATGGCTCCTTTCATTTCATGATTCCTCAGAGTATAAATCAYTGGATTAAGAAAGGGGGTTATTATAGTGTAAAACACAGACAGAAACTTATCTACTGAATAACTATTGAATGGAAAAGAATAGATGAAGATAGCAGGGCCAAAGAAGAGGATCACTACAGTGATGTGAGCAGAGAGTGTGGACACAGCCTTGGAGGAGGCCCTGGAGGAGTGCCGCCAGAGGGTGACGAACATGATGATGTAGGATATGACCAAGAGGATGAAGCAGACCAGGGACAGGAGCCCACTGTCYGCAATCACCAGGAGCTCCAGGACATAGGTGTCAGTGCAGGCCAGCTTGATGACCAGAGGGAGGTCACAGAAGATGCTGTCCACAACATTGGGACCACAGAAAGGTAAACCCACCATGAAAACTATTTGGCTTGTGGTATGAATGAATCCAATTGACCATGACAGAACCAGAAACCCAATGA